TATCTTTACGTACATACGAGTTGGAGTTTAAAACAAATCAATGTAGTGCAGAAAGGTTAATGAATACGAGATGAATACCCTTTTTAAAGAAAAAAAACTGTTAAAAGGAAATGAAAACTCAAGTAAAATCTGGAAAGGCTTAGTAAAACATACTTTTATGTATGTTTTAAAGAGGGATTAACAAGAAAAAGAGATCTACAAAGGTCAAGCACTGAGCAAATATTACATAACACTTTCTGTCGTCTACTGTGTGTCAATAGGATGCACCTTTATATTCTATACTAAAAGGTTCCTTTTCTTTTGTGTTTAACAACCACTGAGGCAAACAATGTTGTAACTGGAGACAATGCAACGACCCATGTACGCAGTCTTCACCTTTTTGGATACTTCACATTTCCTCATTCATGAGCTAAATAGTTCTTTCAGTTTTGTCTTTAAAAATAAACCAACACTAGTTTGGTTTGTTTCATTGCAGCCATGCCTGACACTCACGCCTTGGAGCTGTGGAACAATGGAACAACAAAGCCCTCTTTGAGGCTGGAAATGACTTGAAAGAGCAAAGGTTACTTAAAAACCAGAGAAAGACGAACGTTACAGAATGCTGTTCACAAAATGCTTATGAAACTATTCTGTGAACAATTACACAAGAACTTTTAATCATGAAGAATATCTGGTTATATATTCATACATTATACATATTCTGGAACAGTAAAAACTCTTTGAATGGGACGCAGATCTTGTCAGACTTATGGTCACATACTCAACACGAACATGCTGTCATCACATGACACACATGGTTTCACACATTCTATTACCAGGAACCTCAGCCTTACAGGTTTATAATAATGGTTACCTTTGGGGTTGATGTCACCTTTCAAAAGCCAGCAACAGAGAGGAACACAAATAAAGGAGAGAATTCATACTTTTTACATCCCAATATATCAAGATCTTTTAACTTAGACATATGTATTTGTAGTGAGAGGGTCACTTCTAACAAAAAGACCAGCCTTTATTTTTAAAATGATAACAGCACGGTGCATTTCAGTAATGTGTAAACTTGGTTCCCCTTACATGTCACATTATTGACACACACTATGATCTCCAAAACAAACTTATATGTACATATTATATTGATTATCTGATCATTTACACATGCGTATCTTCAAAGATGTTGAGGTATTCTTTATGCACTTTGACAAACAAAACGACTTTACAATGGCAGTCCTTATCTACAGATGGCTCCTGGTGAAAGTTGAGGGTAAGAGAGATAAGATTAGAGCCCTTTGGAGGTTTAATATAGTCGTCCTAAATGACCTGAAGACATCAACAGATACAAGAAGAACAAAACACCAAAAACATTTTCTGTAAAGGAAATGGTGAGTCTGTTGACCAAGCCCATTGTTATTTTCAGGCAAGTATGCACTAGTTCCCAGCAACAATTAGCTCTGGGCACAGGTACTTAGGACACGTTTACACAAGTTTCCGATTTACGAGAAGGCCTGAAAGTTTGTTTTAAAGCCTTATGACCTTGAAGTGTTCCTGAAACATCTTCTTAGCATAGGAGAGATTCCCTATGTGTGTGTGCGTGTGTATGTGAGTGGGAAACACCTAGGTGTGTTAGTCTAGTCACAATCAAGTATGTGATTTTGAAAAATGTATTCCAGTTAATGTGTCTATTTTTCTTCCTCCTTCCTCCTCCTCTCATTACTGGAATCAAGTTTAAAGAAGGCTAGGTAGAAACATTTCTCAAATACAATCGGTTGTAATAATTTGCTTACAGTAGGTATTCAACCTTCGACACAGTTCATCATTTTCTCCTCTCACTGTCTCCTTTCCCATGGCATAGGTCTAGGGCCTTGGGTATTGCTGCTATCTCTCTTAAGGACAGGCAGCTTGGGCGCATTGTTGTTGCCAGTCTATGACAGAGCACAAGCCGCCATGAGGTAGTTTACTGTTCAGGGACGTAGGTTCCCTGGCGCACATTCTTTTCTATGGACGAGAGCTCTAGTTAGATTCAGGGTCCATATTTGTTTTCTGATGAAGAATGTTGATTATTACACTCCGAACTAGTTAAAACCTTGAGCTAAAGAAAGGGTTCTTCAGAATTGGTTTCAACTCGTGACACACCACCTGTCTTGTCAATTCTCCGGCCGTAACTCCACATAAACCACCAGTGTTTGCCATCAAAGCTCCAGCTCTCCTCGTGTCTCTCGGAGTCCTGTTTCAAATTGCTTCAGAAGTTTCCCCCACACAATCGAATACAGTTTATTTGCAGCTCCATTTCTACACACTTTTAAGTTTAAAGTCAAAATGTTCAAGTTTCAAGTAAAAAATGTTCAACTTTTAAATAAAAAAATAAAATAAAAGGTTGCTCTCCACCAGATTATTGTACACCACTTTAAGAATGCTCTTGCTCACCTTGGAGTTTCCTGAGTAGGTGTAACCTTTGCATATCTTTTTAAGTATGAAGTGTTGCCATCAAATAATCAAATTCCTGATTGGTTGCATTGCAGTGTCTTGATTTACACAGCAGTGCAAAGGGTGCAGTGTTTGGTTTATTTATTAATGCCATTTAAGAGAATATAAACCCATGGGTGTGCCTCATACAAACTAGAAGGAGTTGATGGTGTTTTTAATGTATTTAGAATAAATGTGAGGATGGCAGAGGGAGGGGAAATGATTAATGCAATTCTTCCAGAAAGGCTTTTACATTTGTCAAAACTACTCCCTGCTTTTATTACATAAGTATGTTGGTCGAATTCCTGACTCTTCTTTTGTCTTGAACCAAATTACCATCTTGAGGTTGCAACAAACAGGAAATGTGACGCTTCACTAATATGTGATATGGTTTGTAAAATTAGTAAAAAGGAAGTTATTATCTTTATGAAAGGATAGGATTATGCTATTAACATCCTTATCCGAACAAGTTCAGCAGGTTTTGTATATTTGTTTGAATATCAGCATTTGCTTAATATCTTTTATGTATATAAGCAAATGTTGCATGGCTTTGAGAATTGTACTAACTTTGTAGATAAACAGCTGTTTTCTTGTTTCAATGTTCTTGTGAATTCATCTTAAAACAGAAACATGACACAACGGTGTTCAAATACTATGAAAACAGCATAATTACAGCTGGTGATATGAGGTCAGGAAGGGAAACTTATGAAAGGGTTTGTGGTATTAAAGATTGTCGAGCTGACACAGCCCACAGGGGATTTGATTAAACAAAGGGTTTGTGTTGTCATTTAATATTTGAACAGAGTTGGTTATTTATTGAGTGAATTATCCTTTAATACCACATTTACAAATTAGTATTTGTTTGCGTACGGTGGGGTTATGACATTACATGTCACTTGTCACTTGTTACATGTCACTTGTTTAGACTTCTGTTGTTGCCAGGCTTTTCTTATAAAACAAACAAGATTACATACATATTTATTATGTAAAATTGCCTGGTTCGACCTTTTTTCAGTTAGGTAAACTATGGTGTCAGCATGCTATTGCACAGTTGATACAAACGGCTTGATTACTAAACAGGAAAAGCAGACAAGGTCATGGAAACCCGAAAGCTCTAAACCAGTGGTGTCAAACTCAAGGCCCGGGGGCCAAATCCGGCCCGTGACTTCATTTTCTGTGGCCCCACAAGAGCTTGCAAAGAATATAATATGTTTATTATACGGTTACATGATGATTTACAGAAGCACGTTGCCCATAAACTACATGTCCCACAATGCATCTCAAATTTTACTTTTTTCTCAGAATTTTACTTTTATTTCTTCAAAATATGCCTTTTTTCTTAGTAGTTGCCTTTTTCTCAGAATTTGCCTTTTTTTCAAAATGTTACTTTTTTTTCAAAATGTTACTTTTTTTTCAAAATGTCACTTCCTTTTTTTTCCAGAATTTGGCTTTTCTTTTTAAATCATTTTCTGACATTCTCACTGAAAATACTTATTTGCCCTAGACTTCTTCTTTCAGACGTAGTTAATTATGAAGTTATTACCCTATCCGAAAATAATCCAATGCAGAGGCAATAATGTAATATAATACTTTATTTTATATATATTAAATACTTATATATGTGTTTTTAAAGTTACAACCGGCTCTTTGAATGCAACCATAATGTTAATGTGGCCCGCGATGAAATTGAGTTTGACACCCCTGCTCTAAACTTAAAACAAGGGACTTATTACTGATGTTTGAGAACAGAGAACTTTAGTCAGAGATTATTTTCGTACGTAACTAAGCACTTAAAAAAACACTTTACTACGATTAAAAGTTCTGTATTCACATACATAAATATATACATTTGTGGATTTTTTTTTTTAATGAAAATAGATAAGGCAGTAAATTGATTTAAAATATTTTAATAAAAAATATGAAGAACAACTCTATGATTATTTTAGGGGGAGTTTTGAGTTTAATATCCAAATATAGGGGAACTGTATAACGTTATCGTTTGTCATGCATGTAAAAAGTAGGTCTGAAAAGACTTCAGCCCTACATCTTTTCGGTCAGCATAAACTTGCTTTGGTTAGTCACTACTTTAAAAGTGAATGACTTAATATTGTTTATTTATTTGTGTGTATTTGTGTTGTATACATTGATGTTGTTTTCTTATTGCACGAACAACTTCCATTCCATTCTATTTAAATTCAACATAATTACTGTAGGTTTTTCAAAGATATAATGCATCAATTTGTTTGAAAACTGTTTGTATACAGTCTATGGTGTTTCCTCATCGACGCTACACTGCTGACCTCTGGCGACAACAGCGCGTCACTACACTTAAAAATGAAAGTTTTCACTCTATCTAAATAGATTTATGTCAAATCAATAATTGAAACTCGATCAACCAACTATGAAGCGCTTCATTCCATTATACTTGAAAAATAGTATCGCTGCGACTTTAAAGTTTTACACATAAACGATATTAATGGTACAACTTTCCCTTTAAGAAATCAGCGCCCAATCGCGGCGCGTAAACTGAACTGTGTTGTTGTCAGGAACTACCGGCTAATATAAAGTTGCTAAGCTAACGTTAGCCGACCGGTGGGCTAAAAACACACCATCGTTTGTCTAATTTTACCGTATTAAATAATTACCGTTCAGTCAAACTCGGTTTACGGTCATATCAGTCGCTCTCACCGGCTGTTTGTCTCCGATATCAGGAAATATGTCTTCTGCCCCGGTAAGTTTGTGTTAGCTGAAGTTGGTTTCTTGTTTGGAGCTTCACTGTCTTTACTGCTACATGATATGGGAACTATATTGAAGATAATTTACTATAGCCCTGTGTGCAGGGGTGGAAGACGTACTCAGATCATGTCAGAACAAGTAGAAATATCAGAGAGTCTGTTACAAGTAAAAGTCCTGCATTCAAAGTCTTACTCAACAAAAGTAAAACAAAGTATTGACATCAAAACATACTTAAGTACCAAAAGTAAAAGTACTCATTATGCATATTGTTACTGTTAAATAACAGTGTACGTACTGTTACTTAAGAACAGTACTTGAGTATATCCACTAAAGTATGTTACTTTACACCACTTATCAGGCCTAAGGACACCTAAAGAGTAATAAAAGAATAGCTCATTTAAGAATTACAATTACATTAATGAATAATTAGTGATGCACTACATTACTGTGTACATCTTGTTGCAAGTGGTAAAAGTGGACTAATGAAGGCTTATCCTTATCCATACCAACCAACAAATTATATGTAATGTGTCGAACATTGATTGTCATCCATCTGATGCATGTAAATTGACAGGTAATGTAATGTATCACATGATTGTAGTAGAGTACAATAATTGTAAAGCATTCCCCTCTGAATTGAGCAAGAGAAGAATACAAAAGTAGCAGAAAATGGAAATATTCAAGTGAAGCTCAAGTACTTTACATTTGTATTTATATGACTTAACAGAACATAATTAGTCACTTCCTATTACTGGAAATGTCAAGTAAAGTTGTGAGTTTTTAAGTTAGAGTAGGGATCTTTATTTAATATGTCTGAAAGTAAATCAGATTACATATGGAAGTCAGTAAATGTATTCTACAGTATGACAAGTCTGCATAGGTCATGTCCACAACTACACGTCAGTAATATAAATCTACTAGTGCTTTTCACACTTTGTTGTGTAACAAAATATTACAATTAATGATTCCAATGCAATATAAACATCTATAAATATCTAAAGGGAACATATCTAAATGGATCATTTGAAAAACTAAAGTGCAGTGTTGTTCTTATAATGGCACACAACCTTTATGTGTTGAGTAGCATTAGGATAAAGAAAATACCCACTTGTGGAGCAGGTCTTCTTAAGAATGTCCATCAAGGTAACCCTTATTTAGAAATTCTGTTCACATAATATAATCAGAAAAGTGAATGAAATGGTGTAGTAGGGTGGAGGGATCTGGGTATTCTCCTCTTTTAGTCCAGAAAATGTCAATATAACATTTTGAATACCTTTTAGGAAATGTCTAGTGAATATTTGTAGGATGAAGATTAACATGATATAACTGTGAATGCTGCGTTTACTCTCATTCTCCATCCATTAACTTCACCTGCTAATCTCAGTTGACATTGGGCTAGAGGGGTCTGACAAGGACATAACAACAAGAGAAGACCTTCGTTAATACGATAGTATATCTTTATTTACAAAAGGTTACTTAAACAGCTAAGCAAGAAATGCAATTGATACAAAAGTACAAAACGTTAGTAAAAACGTGTAAGATCTCAGCTTGCAATATATAACATCACAAGTTCTTAAAGTCATTTTTCTTGTTAACTCTCGACGCCATATTTGTCAAAGTGTCTCATAATGATGCCGAGCTCCAGCTCCACGGTGCCCATGGCTTCGGTGTGCAGCCTGTATCTGTCCGCCCCGCTGTACACCAGGTCCGGGCTGCGGAGCTGCGGTCCTCCGCCGACGAACATTTGGGACAACTGCTCTTGCCAGGAGCCGAGCGGCCTCCAGGTCGCACAGCTTATCCGGTGATGTCCGGGGCTGGACGGGACGTGGCAGTATCCGTAACCGTACAACTGGCAGCGTCCGAAAGAGTCCTGGTGCCAAACCTGGAGGTGAAGCTTCGGCCAGCCTTGGAGTCCTTTAGTCGCGTAGTGCACATCGATAGGGTGACTCCAGTACGCCATGTCTCCTGTTTGGGGAATATCCACCTGGGTCTGACCCTCCTTCAGCCCCGACAGAAGACGCCATGCTCCTCCCGTGTGAACTCCCCATTTACAAAATAAGCTGTTCTGTGGGAAACCACTGGCTCCTACGATTTGGCCTAAGATGTGCAGCTCTGCCATGTTACAAATGACCCCGTACACAAAAACATGAGGCCCCCTGAGTCCTCCACAGCCTCCTCTTGAGTTTAACGGATAGCAACGACTAGCACCACAGCCCCCGTCTCCTTGGTTACTCAGCCTGCTGGAAGGGAGGTTTATTTTACCCAGAGTGAGGTTTCTCAGGCAGCACTTCTTGTCAGACTGCAGACAGATCCAGTATTTTCAAATCGCATTTAGAGACCTAAAGTCCACGAATAGCTCAAATAGGGCGCGTTTTTCAAACACAATACCAGCAAATAGCTTAAATCATTGGTGGAGATTGTTTGCGATTGTACACATTTGAAAACTGCTGCCTGACAGGTTGCGCGGCGGGCACAAATATGGCTTTACGTTGCGTTGAAGCGTTTCCTTTTTTGTGCATTGAAACAATACATCTAAATCGTTTCATATTCATCCGTCATAAACAATCAGCGAAAAACAACCATTGATGTCTAAATTCAACTTTACTCCAGGGCCCAGGCCTCAAAACGAGTGTTAATTTATTGGTTTCTTTGGAATTAAACTGGTTTTAGAGACTAGAAACAAAGTTAAACAGCACCGTCCAGCGGTTGTAGTAAATATTGCAGAAAATGCACTGGTTTAAAAAAAAAAAGTTCATTTAATTACTGTAAAACTGTAAACCTCTCTACATTTGCATTCTTTCCTACTTTGTAGTTAAACTGCTGTACCACAATTTCCCAGAATAAAAAAAAAAAAGTGTCTTAATGTAGTATGTATTAATGCTTTTATTATCATTATTTGATTATGCTTTTATAAGATACATTGACATTTATTATTACTGTATAAACAACAGGTGTTACTAATACCATCCTGTATCCCAGTAAGTGTGACAGTAAGCCCGGATGCACAACACCAGAAGCCTGAATCTGAAGTTAATAGTATTCAGCCATCACTCAATATAATACTAACAGCTACTCCTTTAAAGATGTCTTAAGTTGAAAATGCCTGTGTGTGTGTGAACAGACACTTTGCTCTGATGTCCTTTGCTACATAATGTATGTAGCTGTATCTTCATTTTGTTGGTTTTATCTAAAGTTTGAAGTATCATTACAACCGTCAGTGCCTCAGTCAGTAGGGCTTGGACTGTGAGCCGTAGGGTCGCCGGTTCAAGTCCCCGACCAGACCTAAATATGGAGTGTGGACTGCTACTTGAGAGTACTGCTTAGAGAGGTCCCAGTTCACCTCCTGGGCCCTGCTGTGGTGCCCTTGAGCAAGGCACCGGACACCCCCCGGACACCGGACACCCCCCTTCCCCCCTCACTCCCATTGCTCTCCGGGCGCTGTACAATAGCTGCCCACTGCTCCTACTGTGTGCTGTGTGCTCTGCATGTGTGACCATTTAAAGAGGGTTTCATCCCTCCGATTCTATCTAACCATAAAAAAGCGTAGACTTAGCTGTACGCCTATCTCTTGATCTATGATTATGTGATTTTTTCCCCCACTACTGTTTAATGTTATTAAGAATACTTTGAAACAAGTGCACAGCATCTTTAATATGTGGCTGCTTAAATCTGTCTCTCTGTTCCCCATTTAGTCTGACCCTACTCTGGAGAGACATTTCAAGGGTCACAGGGACAATGTTACAAGTGTGGACTTCAGCTGCAACATGAAACAAATTGGTAACTGCTACTTAATATTACTGTATGTGTTTATGTGTGTTTATCAGTCTGTGGTCAGAGAATATTCTGCCCGTTTGCTGTTTCCTTTCTCTTTTTTTTTCATTGTGTGATATGTTTCCTGCATCGTCATCCAAATGTGTTCAGTTTACACACCTGTTCTCCCTCTTCCAGCCACAGGCTCTATGGACTCAAGTGTGATGATCTGGAACATGAAACCTCAGATGAGGGCGTATCGTTTTGATGGACACAAAGATGCTGTCACTTCAGTTCAGTTTTCTCCCTCTGGCCACCTGGTGGCATCTGCCTCCAGAGACAAGACTGTACGTCTTTGGGTGCCCAGCCTGTGAGTTTGAAGTATTCCACCTTTTCTATTAAAGTACATTTCCATCATCTCATTATTTTGTATAGCGTTAGCGATCTACCACAAAGAACAATGATGCTGACTCATAAGAAAAACAAAACGACACAGTTTGACTAAATCCCCTAATTCTGCCAACACACAGAAGAAGTCACACATTTCAGAACACTGACTTGTTTTTAACAGTTTTTTTTTTTAACTTAGAGTTGTCTTGGTGTTTGTGTGTGTGCACAGGAAGGCTGAGTCAACAGCTTTCAAGGCGCACACTGCCACCGTGCGCAGTATAAACTTTTCTGCTGACGGGCAGAATCTGGTCACAGCCTCCGACGACAAGACCATCAAAGTGTGGACTGTCCACAGACAAAAGTTTCTCTTCTCTCTCAACCAGCACATCAACTGGGTCCGCTGTGCCAAGTACGACGAACACACACACACACATACACACACATTTGTACTTCTTTCTTTCTAAAAAATATAATTGACAGTATACAACAACATTGTTGTTAGTTTTCCTTTCTGAAAATGTTAAATTATATTGTATGTAACATTGAATCTTAACATGTAGATAATTGTCAATACATCATTTTCAATACATTTCTGCAGGTTTTCTCCAGACGATCGTTTGATTGTATCGTCCAGTGATGATAAGACTATAAAGCTGTGGGACAAGAACAGTAGAGAGTGCATTCATTCTTTCTATGAACATGCTGGGTAAGCAATTGAGACCAAAAAAGATATATGAGAAATAAATGTTCTGATGTGTTCAGAAGAAATAATTGTCACATTTTGAAATGTTTAGGTTGATTAACATTTTTAAGCAAAAAAGGTGACACATCCCATTACCATTTGTTCGCTCAATTCTTTGTACCAAGGCACTGAACACCTACTCATTCATTTGAAAATTCTTAAAGCATCAGCTGAAAGCCTCTATTGCATGGTGTGTTTACATTGTTTAAAACCATTTACAAAGAGCAGAACATCTTCTCTGGTGGGTGTTTCAAAAACCTTATGAATTGAATTAACCTGTTGGATTAATACATTTGAAGTACTGTCAATTCTTGGCCAAAGACATCATTTTATTAAATGTCCTGTTTTTTCTTTCTCCCTAGTTATGCAAATCACGTGGACTTCCATCCCAGTGGAACGTGTATAGCTGCAGCCTGTACTGACAACTCTGTTAAAGTCTGGGACATCAGATCCCATAAGATGCTCCAGCACTACCAAGGTAAAGGCATCTCAACATATATATGAAGGAAGTGTTACATTTTATAATAACGTAATTACCAGATCACGTTAAAATTGCTACAGTAAACCACAATTTGCTTTCAATCACTGCATATTTGTAGCTTTAATGCCAAGCTAACAAATACACTAATTTATGTAAGCATTTCATATATTTTTGGGTCAAGACACACACTAATTGTTTCATATTTAAACACAGGCGTTTTTTTAGGATTTGATGACATTTTGAATCAGTAACACAGTAAATCCACAGCCCAGTGTTGAGAGAAATATGTCTTATATGGCAAACAGTAAACGTCTTGTCATCCAGTCCCTCCCAGACTCACAATACAGCAAAGGTAAGGCCTCACTTTTAAACACAGTGAAAAACACAGCAAACTACTGAAATAACACCAAGTAAAAATGAAGATTTAAAGCTCACGACTAAAGTGGTAATCAAGAATCTTTGCATATTCAATAAGCCGAATGTTGATGCCTCTTTGTCAGTCTGCCTTTCAGTGTGATTGTTCTCATCGGCTCTCTTAAATGGATTTGAGTTGTGAGATCTAATAATGGATAATCACATCTGTGTCTGAGGAGCTGGGGCATGAAGATAAAAGCGTTCCCTCTCCTCTCATTCCTCCTCCTTTCCACAGTGCTTCACTTTACATGCTATAGTAAATCACCAATTACACCAGCCTAGAGTATAACATTGTGGCTCAAATGTGGTGTTGTTACTGTTATACCCATGGGAATTATTCGTAATTGGTAGTATGTTTAGTTTTCCTTTCTCCTTCTATTGTTTGTCCTTGCTTTTGAATGGCTTTCATTTTATTGGGGTGTATACTTTGCTCTTTATCCCTTCATGAATCTTAGCCATACCCAAAGAAATTACCCTCCTGCTCTCAGTATAGTTTGGTGCAGCTTTTCATCCTGTTGCAGCGAGAGGCGTCAGTTTATCTTATGTCATAGCATCTTGTCGCCAGCAGAGGGGCCACGTTGCCAGTCAAATGTCTTTTCTCATTCAAGAACCCAGTTACCAGAAGGTGGATTGATTTCAGGTCTGGGGAAGTTTTGATCAGTTGCTTCAGGCTTCTGTACTTGACAAATATGCTAATGCAGACCTGATGTTAAGCCATTCTCAAGTAACACAGCAACTGAGGCGTTATGATATACAGCACCAGTGCACTTCAATTGGATCCAGGCAACAATGTTAGCAAACATCTGGCCAGCTGAAGTGTCCTTGAGCGAGACACTGAACTCTAGCAATGCCCCTTAGGTGTTGTAAAATCACAGAAATGTTCCTCTGAGGTGCAGTTTTAGAGAGAAAAGGGAAAGAAACATACCTTGTTATAGTAAAGCCAAATGAACAACAATGGGATGGTATTTGTTGTCTTTAATTGTAGAAGGTTCCACTTCAGTTTGAATTACAGTAACAAAACGTGTGTCCTGTCATTGAGTTTGTATGTGTTTTCCAGTTCATAGCGGTGTGGTGAACAGCTTGTCTTTCCATCCGGCTGGTAATTTCCTCATCACTGCATCCAGTGACTCCACAATGAAGATACTGGACCTTGTAGAGGGCAAGCTACTGTACACGCTGCACGGACACCAGGTACACACACACACACACACACACACACACACACACACACACACACACACACACACACACACACACACACACACACACACACACACACACACACCGTTTAGATTTCCTACAGGCCTTCCAGTCAGGATCATGATGGGTCATTTCCGTCTGCTGTTGGCGTCTGCATGTTTATGTGTTTGACATCTCTTTTGTCCATTTTGGATTATGACATGAGTGTGAGTGTATTATGCCTTTTTTGTCCATGGTATATTTTAGTACTTGCCAGGCGAGCGGACGGCCCACTCATGATGATTCATCTCAGGGTTGTTGGAAGGAAACAGAAGTGTGTTTCTGCCTCCGTTCTGCTGGATCCTTTCCTCCTCATCCTCTCTTCCTCTGTCTCTCTGGTTTCGGTCCTTTCCTTTTTAACTGACTTAAACGTACAATGTGTAAATTCCTGCCACTAGCATTCTATCAAAAACAATAACAAAATGCAGTTTGATGTTGTCTTGAAGTTGCGTGGGGATCATGGGAGATGTTGTCTTCACCACCTTCGCCGCCATTGCAGTCAAATTCGTCTGGTTATGATGATTCATTGTTCATCGTTCATGAGGGTTTTACTAAGAGCCTAATTATCAGCAGAGGTCTCATCCTCTTCAAAAGAAAGGCACCCAAACATTAAAACTGATACAAAAACACTGGTTAAAAATTCTTCTTTCTCTGACGTGTCTTTGCTGCCCAGAATGTTTGAATATGAGTCCTATGACTATAACCCTTCATCTGGTTCAAATATGCAGTTAAAAACGTCCAAGATCTAAAAAGTATACCAAAACATGTGGCTTGAAATCCAATCCAATCCAATCCATTTTATTTATATAGCACATTTAAAAACAACAGAGTTGAACAAAGTGCTGTACATCAACAACTGTATAAAAACATAGCATAAATACATAGAAAACAGACAGAACATGAAACAAATGTAAAACACGAGACAATGAAACCAGATCAGAAGCCACAGACTGAAAAACTCTCCTACATGATGTAAAAACAATACAAAACACTAGTAAGATAAAAACCCAAATGTAAAAGCACAAGTGTCATACCTGGTCTGTAAATGCAAGGGAAAAGAAATGGGTTTTTAAACGAGCTTTAAAAATAGGCAGAGTTGGAGCAAGTCTAACCTGGAGGGGCAATTCGTTCCATAATTTTGGAGCTGCAACAGCAAAGGCTCCGTCTCCTCGCTGCTTTAACCTTGATTTTGGGACGACCAGAAGTAATCTGTCAGCAGACCTCAGTGACCGTGTGGGCGTGTATGGTTTTAAAAGATCTGCCAGAAATGAATAAACGTTCAATTTATGACAGCTTCTTAACTCCACAACACTGAAGCATGCCACGCCATTTAAGCCGAATAAATGAAACCAACCGTTAATCAAAAGTAACTTTACATGTGAAAATAGTTGGAAGCCTTTAGGACAATGTAATTAGACAACTCAACAGAATATATAACATAGGTTTAGTCGATTTCAAGACCTTTTAATTTGGAAAGCACCATCACCATCGTTATCATCCTAACGATGAAGTACAAGTACTCCTTGTACTTCTCTATTAACGCCCATCTCGTCTGTACTCCCATGTTGACAGTCTGGACCAGTCGCTCACTGACTGTATCTATTTGTTTGAACAGCTGATGGACTGACTTTCTGGCTAGTTGTGGGAATCGGTGGCTTGCCAGTGCCACATGTGGTCCATCTGTTTACCCATCCCTCTGTACACTTTGCATGCCTCTCCTTTCTTTGTCTTGTCTGTGTCACCCACTGCTTGCCAAGACTCTTTCGTCAAGATAAAAAAAACACCCTTTCCCCTCCTCGCCTCACACCTCCAAATTTGTCTTCTCATAATCTCTTTCTTCGTTTCTGTTGTTGTTCTTTTTGGCTCAGTGGTGACGTCGCCAATCTGTTGGTGCTGGGAGCGCTCAGGGTGTTAATTGTCTCTCCAGTCGCTTAACTCGAAAATGGGAGACCCCCATCTGTTCAGTGTGGGTGTGTAGGTTTACGTGTGTTTATGTGTCGGCTTGTTGATGTATGTGTGTACAGCTATGTGCATGTGCTGTATATGGAAACACATGAAGGCACTGAGGGAGTATGTTTCCTGTTGGATCTGACAAATGTGTTGTTTTCTTCGCCTCAGGGGTTACCTGTGTACCTGGCAGGGCAGAATCAGCCTAATTTAGCTTCATTTGTCTTTCTGTTCTGAGCATATTTGGAGGAGCAGCTGGACACTGAAACAAGAAGAGCTGGTCTACTTTGAAGGCCAGCCAACCCTGAGTGAGCCTGGCCCGAAGTAGTTGCTACCTTCAGGGCTAACCCCTTACACTTATATCAGCAGGTAGAAAGCAAGACATAGAAACTTATCTTGAGGCAATGTGTGTCTACAGTTTAGTCTGACAAATAAACTGTACACACACATTGCACTGCCACGTTTACAGCTATAACGCTACTGCTAACTTTATACTCACAGCTAATGTTAAGCACACAAACAGTTTATTCTTTAAGTAAGTTCTCTACTTATATAATACGGGTTGAATCGAAAAACATCTTAAAACATATTTTTTCCCCCAATTCTTAGGACTGGCTTATTTGGTCAAAAATCTGAGAACTAGCTTGCAATACACCCCTGCAGATGTATAGTGATATACTTAGCATATTTTCTCTCCAATGTCCTAATGTGTGACTTTAGCGTGTTAGATAATACCGATACCCAATCTGATACTAATGCTTCTGGTCCTTTTTCAATGGAATGCCTGTCCTTCTCTTTACTTAATCATACCTGGAGACATTCATACTCAAGAGATTTTTTTTTTTACGCTTGTCGACTTTTTAATGATTTAAAAGCATTTAAAAGACCACCGCATCATGTTTTATTACGACGCAGACTGAGAAACAGATTCACACTTATTTATATTTTAAAGAAATGACAGCGACAAAAGTCAACCAGTGCAAGATTGTCATCGTTTTTGTCACTCATGAAATTATGGAGAGCAGCATGTGGAGGCCAGTCAGGTTCGCAGCCTGTGTGTGTGCGTGTCTGGCCATGGCAAGTGCCAGCCTGGCAGCAGGCGTTAGTCAGAGTCGAGACAGAACATGCTGTCTGTCAGGCCGGCGTGTTGCCATAGCGACACTGTCTGCTTCTCTCAGGTGCTTCTGGGAAACCATTCCTCACCCAAACCAGCCTGTCTGGATACCAGCCGCAGGACACACAGCTCCTCTTTGCTGGCCAGCAGCAGTTTATTTTCCTTTCTATAGTTTGTTCTCTCCTTTTTCTCTCTTTGATCACAGTCAGAGGGCTCAGGCTTTTATCGTTGACCCCGTTCTGCATTGTGAGATGGAAAAAAGAAAAAAGGAGTGTGATCTTTGAGTTTTTCAAGCTGTATTCTGTCTGCGCTCCAGGCACACACACACACACACACACAGCATGCAACAGTTCTGACACTAGCAGGTGTTCCTTTTTGGCTCTGACCAGGTGTGACCTCACCTCACCTGAGTCTTAGCTTTCTGTTATTGATTGCTCTGCCCCACACGCCCACTCCCTCCTACACACATAAACACACACACACATGCAGTAGCTTTTGTTGTCGGCATAAGTTTCCTAAATGCTATGAGCTACATACACAAAAACACCTATTTCTCTCCAGTTCTCTTCTCTTTATCGTACATTTTATAATAACTTCTAACCTAACTGTATTTCGAAGTGTCCATCTGGATTGTGGCATTACGTTTTTCATGTTGTCTGGTCTGTCCGTACCCTTTCTGTGAAAGCCCTAACTCAGGATGCCTGAAAGGAATTACTCTCAATTTGGCACAATCTGTACTTGCACTCAAGGATGAACTGAATAGATTTTGGAGGTCAGAGGACACATTGACCTCACAAAAAATGTTTTTGGCCATTTCTCAAAAATGTATACGCTAATTAAGACAATTTTACACAAATATCTAAAAGGATAACATGATATATTAATGAAATGTTGGACAGACATGTATGTACACTGCAGAAATACAATCATAAGGTTCAAAGGTAATGTATGTAGGGTTTGAAGTTTATTGAATGGCCTGAATGCATCACACAGACTACACTACTTTCACAGGGATTGTTGCATTTTTAAAAGGCTGCAACTAAGTATTATTTGAATTATTGATTTATTTAAATGTGCCTGTTATAAGTATTCTTATTTTATCAAAAAAATGCTTTCCAAATCTCAAGACAACATTATCAAATGTATTTTCGGACCAACCAAATGTGACGGTGTGGTGTAGGTAAGAGTTTGTGTTGCCAACAACGCCACCTAAGGGAGTTTCACCCCTAGGAACTAACTATTGATAATAAAAGATTTAACCCACAAGGAACACAGGTTCGTTTTACATAACGGGCCAGAGACAGTTTCAGTTACAGTTAACACAATTACTTTATTTTATAACAATCAATTAACTATTCTAAAAACACCAGATACACATTATACAATCAGCTAAAAGTTAATACTGGGGCATAGGAGGTACAAGACAGGGCTGGGGCTTACCAGGCGGCAATAAATCAAAAAGGGGGAAGGGTCCAACTCAAAACCACCCGTGACACCGCAAACCAAACAACAGGACTCGTGAAGAACACCACCACCAGGGATTGGGGTTGCCGCCTCAGGCCCACAGCACCTGTCTGACAAGAGGAAGACGGTTAAAACCTCCACACACTATTACACTTAAATAAACAACTAAATAAATAACCAAACAAATACAACCAAATGAATTAACTTATCCAAATAAAGTCTGCACACAATGGTTAATATTAAACAAGGAAAACACTAGTATATAAACTTAAAGAACAAAACCCCCACAGACATGTTTAAATCAAATTAAATAATAATATTTTGTCTGTTTCTCTTTCCCCTCCATCAGGGTCCAGTGACCTGTGTGGCCTTCTCCAGGACAGGAGAGTATTTCTCCTCTGGAGGTTCTGATGAGCAGGTGATGACCTTTTCTTGATGATCCTTAAAAATCAACCAGTTTTTGTTTAATAAATGGCCTTATTATTTGCTGTCCTTATATAACTAATAGAAGCTTACCAAAAGGTTTATTGCCAATTTAGAAAACAGAATTAATGAAAATGAGTTTAGGGGTTGCAGATGTTTTAAAATGCTGTTGTATGAGGTGCTATCCATAGTCTGTGTGTATCACCTACAGCAGAAAGCGGTCGGCAAGCCACTAAGCAACGTACTGCTGAGGCAGCAGCTAAATGTAGCCACCGACAGAAAAGATCAATATTACTTTAAGTGAATGCTTTTTTAGAATATTTTCTCTACTTTACGTTGCTGTAAGACAGTCCTTTCAGATGAGGTAATGAAGCCCTTATTAACGATCTCTTCAAAGCATCCTGATTCCATTGACCAAAAGTAATCATACAGAGCACAGGAATTGATGCTACTCCATCGGTTAGTTAGTGCTTTTGTATGACTTTGGTGATTCTGAACTAACCAAAGTCTGTACACTACTGTCTGACTGCAAGGTCAAGCAGTGAAAATATTCTACATTTAGTTTACACTTAAACTGTTTGCTTTGCAGTTGCCCCGATCCACAGCAGTTCATTGCTTGGTTGGCCATACATTATGTTAGCTTAGCCAACTACTGTAGATAATACACTGACTTTGAATATGCACCTCATTCAACCTCACTTCAAAACGTCTGAACTCTACCTTTTACTTTGACAAAGAGAAAGCAAATCTGTATTTATGTCGTGCATTTCATTATTTGTAAATTAGATTATTGGTTTGTTGACTTTGATGTATTATTGTGGTGACAGGAATTATTTGAATACATCTTACAGGTAATGGTGTGGAAGAGTAATTTTGACTGCGCTGAAGGCATCGATGACTTCAGGCTGCAACATAAAGCTGCTCCCAGCCTGCAGGCAGTAGGCAGCTCCACGGCTCAGCCCCCCCTCACCCCCTCTGAGCACCGCAGCCAGGTGAGATCAGTATGCATGGAGTCATTTTCGGGATTAAAAGACATTTCGCTCGACACAATTATAAGAAAAAGAATCATAATACATATAATGAAGGTGGAGACTGAAAACAATAACTTTAATCATACAGTTTATCTTATACACTCATAAGTGAAGGTATCCTAATTATTGCACATCCATTTGCATGCATGTGTGGCGCCTGGTTGAAAGATAAACATAACACGTGCAGAAATACCCCCTCAATATTTTATGCTGCCAGTGTGGCGGGCTTATTTCCTCGTTGCATATCTTCCCTTTGAAGTCTGCAGTGTGGCCTGAAGCTACATTCATCTCTCGCATGCAGGGCAGGAAATACCCACTTATTTCCACATCTACATTTTGATATTGAGGAAGTTTTTTTTCTGTCTTTCTGACCGCTGGAATGAATGAAATATTAGTCTGATGATTAATCTGATTACTACAGATGAGTTTTGAATGTAGATGACGATTAGAAATGATCAACATTTAAAACGGCAGTAAGAAGTAAGGAAGTATAACTGTGTTCAAACACTGTGAATACTGCAGTTTTTGTTAATAAGTCAGTGCTGAAATGAGGCATCGACAAACTAAAAGGAAAGTTTGCAAAGAGACTAATTCCATAAAGTGCATGTTATGCTATGTTACTCCTCACTTGGCTTGTGGTTTTATGTGTTTTTCTAAGTAAAGTCTATACAATCTCATTTGAGGGTTTTTATTTTATATATTCATATCTTACTAATATATTATATGCTATAGCAGTACACTGCACTAACCTGATTCATACTGTTTTTTTTTTATTTGACAACCAACAAACTTGGACAGTATTATGAGTCAATAAATGCCAAAGTCGGTTATACTATAAAAGTATTCAGACGGAAGCCTCCCAGACACTGAAGCTTGTGTTGTGGCAGCATCGCGTCCATTTTCACGACAGTAATTTAATAAAACATCAGCATGTCAAACATCTAATCCCACCACACCCTTTCTGACTGCTGTGTGAATCTGTCCAAAAAGAAATTGTGGTTGATAGTTATCGGAACACAAAGCTAGTGTATTATCAATAAACACAAACAATGTGAGCAGATAAATAAACCTGCACTTTCTGTCCTGCTGTTGCTAAAACTAACCATTTAAGTACTCTATTAAGTCGAAGTACCTTGCAGTGAACCACTAAAGATATAAGAGACAGTGTTGATAAAGGTATACTCATCTGTCTTATCACCTAAAAACTGATTATTCAGATTTATTTAATTTATGTTTTCATTCTGATCCTTAAGAAGGTATGAGGTATTAATACAATCTGCATTTAAAAAATAGAGGCGCTTGGTTTTATGAACGTGTCATCCGAGCATAGTTGATGCAGCAACACACAAGAAATATGCACAGGTCCATTAGGAAATGATCCTGAATCTGTGCGCTACATGGGTTAAAAGCATGGCTGCAACTAACCACTATTTTCATTATTGCTAGAAAAGGTCAGCACAAAGTCAGAAAAAGTTTATTGTGAGCCCAATAGTCCATACACCCCAAAATAAAGTTTGAAGCAAAAACATTTGACCTAAAAATAACAAAAGGTGAGAGGAGTTTGGCTATTAGCATTGTTTAAATATTAAAAGACCTTGTCAGATGTCTCACACACACACACACACACACACACACACACACACACACACACACACACACACACACACACACACACACACACACACACACACACACACACACACACACACACACACACACACACACACAAAGGGGACAGGGTGTCACCGGCTGGCTAGGGAACCTCAGGGTAAGGTTTGGATTTCAACCCCTTTGACTGCTACTGTGTTACTTACATCAACAAGGACACAGCCAAGGTCTCTCTGTCTCTCTCGCTGTCTCGAAGTTTAGGTCCAGCCACTGTGTTGCTGCCTTGCTTTTATACTTTTAATATTTACAAATCTAGGATAGCATAAGACTCATAATTAGGCATGTATGTAACAGTGAAGAAAAAGTCCTGTTGTGATATTTAACCAGTTCTACTAAAACGTATGACCCATTAGTAACTCTTCATTGCTGATTGATTTGATTGGCTTTCTGGGGCAAGTGTGACAAAGACAAGGGATGCAACTCTGCACCTTGTGCCAAAGAGTGTAGAGATTATTATTATTATTATTAAGTGTTATATATTATTATAGATAAAACATTTTTGCATGCCAGTGACGCCTTAAGAGTACCAGCCTATGACTAAGAGCGTTCGCCCATCAAATGTACAACTCTGTGAAGCAGACAACAATGCCCCTGAGTACACGTACCATTAGCGTGGTTATTTCCAACATCTCCTTAACATTGACTTGAGCAGTGTAAGTGCATAGCTTTTAATGTCCTTTAAACACCTCTCTTCTCTATGCCATCCATGGACCCTTTGGGGCTTTTTTCATCTTCTCTCTCTGTCTGATTGTGCCGTTCTCTCTCGTTGCTGTGATACAGGACTGTAAATTGATTTTAATAGCTCTTCCACTCGACAGCTGTTATTACAGACGTGCCTCACAGGAGAACTAGAAAATGGGTAGTTGGATCATCGGGAGAGAGATGATGCATGCAATTCTTGAAATACATTTGTACTGTTTTTCTAAAATCCTATTGAACCCTTTATTTGGGAAATGTGTTTGTTTTTTTACCAAATACAGTTCAAGCACAGCTTTTAAAGCCTTAGCACTTTTTAGGATGGTGCAAAATGCTTCACCTGTTTATCTTGGCTTATCTTAAAACACATGAATTGATAAGACATTCTTAACATCATTTCATTAAGGCATCATTTTGCCAAATTGCATTTGCAATAACTATATCGTTTGTTATCATTTATGCCTAATAGAGATGCAGTAATTGTGTTGTTCTTATTGTTGTTTATTGTGTTTTTGTTGTAATTATTCCCCATTTGTGCCAGACATCTTCAATATAAACATTTGGGAAGTGTTTAAACTCATTCAGCATTTCATTACACTATACAGTAAATCATCATATATATCATACACATTTATGAAATAACCTTTAATGTGACCTCTGAATTGAAAGATATTCTTTTGAAAAGTAACAGCTTCAACAACTTCCTACACAATAAGAAGAACATTAAAAAAAGCATTTTTGTGTAAGACATTTATATGTGAATGTAAAATTGAATAGAAGCATAGAGAAATCTTTCACCTTGGTTTTTCATACAGAATAAAATGTACATTTTGATCTTTCTTTGAGACGCAAAGTGCATTCACATCATTTCAATGGTTGAGTAGATTAATGACGCATAGATATGAATGCACAGTGTAGAACAAATTAAATCTTAACCGGAGTTAGTTCCTGGCAATGGCATTTCTTTCATCCTTTTTATGAGTTGTGGTCTGCCAGTTGTTAAGGTTAAAGTAAAAGTAGTAGCTGCACCTGGAAGTACCAGCTTCCTAGATTCTCCTTTTCATGTATAATTTATCCATTTGTAATTTATTATTTATACAGGCCCTTTCATTTCTCATAAAATGCCACAAGTCTCAGACACGTGTTGCCTGAGAGGAAGCAGAGAGGGGGGAAATGTCCCCAGCTCGCCTTAATGTGTTCGTTTCCTTCTCTGTTAATACGAGTATTCAAAGGCTTAGGGAGTTTAAAATAGAGTATAAAACAGAGAGAGGTACTCTATATGAGAGAAGTGGATCTAATGTGCTGTTGAGCATTCACTTATTTTAAGAGAGGCAGAATATAGTAAACAGGATATTCTTTTTTTAAAGCAGCCATGAAAGGGGTTGTGGAACACCACTGCGGTTCGTACATCCAAACTCCAGACTGCTAACTAATTAAAAAGAAGCACAACATGTGAATATTATCAGCCTGTAAACACAAACAATTACAATTTAAATGCAGATCCTATACTTAGAAAGTGACCATGGAAAGTATACCCCGCCAAAATTAATTGTATTACATAATGTATAAAACATTATTCATGAGTTATGTCAAACATTGATTAAGTATAGGTTACCTAAGACTAAACACTCAGAGCAGAGCGAATACATTGCAGGCTTTAATGGAAGTAGAAACCAATAAAATTCATATTGTACCCTATCCAATAAAGTATTTATGTCAGTACCTGAGGGTTTTTTATATATAGATATTACGGGTACAATAACAGTATTTAGGAAAGAATGGAGGACACAGCTTTGTGCCACTAGCAACACCACAGAGACATATGTCCGCTGTGTTTGTAAGAACATGAATAAGGAGCTGACAGCATCTGCACTGAGACAATACTCCTTAAGATGGTATCAGAAAGGAAAAGTAACTCATTAGTTATTAGTGTGAATATACAGTATATTTGATTAATAGGACCTCTTCCTCCCTTCCCTCTCAGATAATTAATGCTACAAACTTAATTCTTCAGGAAACTATTTGTTTTCATGTTGTGATGCGAGCACAACCACACTTCATCAGACTTATAAGTAAGATGTAAAAAAAACAACCAGATGAAGATGACTTGTGCTACAAAGTGATGTAGTTAACTAAACAGGTGAGCATTACGGCAAGTTTGCAAAGCAAGCTATTTATTATATTTTATGTTTTCTTTCAGCTCAGCGCCTGAGTTATTTTGTTTGGATGTCCCTGCATAGTCCTATTTGTATCAGTTACAATACAACTGGTAATATTATCAGTCTTATACTCAATATGGAGATACCCATTAAGCTTATAATCTTACAATAAAACCACAAGTTAAGCTTTTCAAAATAGTCTAACAAACTCATAACATAATTTTCGGCTGAGGCTCATTGTACAAATGCTGGCCCAGGACTACAGCCCTCCAGTCTGTGTTTAAATCGTCTCGGTCGTATGTAATAAAACCATCCCTCCTTGCTATGCCTATCATCCAGTATTACACACAACTGCCTTAGGCTGTTATTCTTTTCACCCGGAAGAAATTGACTAATGAGGAAGTAATGCTGTGCTTCTTCATACTGAAGCAAAGGCCA